TTGACTGGAGCTGTTCTCCAGGTTTGTTGGTGTAGTTTGTTCAGCACTTTAACTGAATCCTCCTCAGAATGTTGGGCTGTTTCCTCTGCAGTGTGCTCGATTCCTGTGTCTTCTTTGGTGATGATCTCAAGGCTTTCTGACTTCACCTCCATTAGAGTAATAACTTCATTAGAAACCATTAGGATTGAAACCTAATGGTTTTGCTTTCTAATGGGAATTAGCTTAATGGTCTCCAACAGAGACCACTAGTTTCCTGTAGAACACCTTTAGATCCCGTTAGGAAACTATCAGATAGATAGATAGATAGATAGATAGATAGATAGATAGATAGATAGATAGATAGATAGATAGAGGCTTTTTAATGGGTTGATATCATAGCATAAATTATCCTAATGGTTTAAGAGAAGACCAGTCTGATTCTACATGCGTTTGATGGTTTCTTAGTGGAATCTAAAGGTGTTCTACAGGAAATTAGCGTTGTCTATTGGAAACCATTAAACTGATTCCAATTAGAAAGCAAAACAATCAGGTTTCGAACGGTCCTTTTCAGCAGGTACTCCAGCGCGATAGGTGGCGATAACCATTCCTCTTGCACGAGACTCACAGAGGAAGAAGAGGAATAAAAAACGCGGGCGAAGTGTGGAGCAGAGCTAACAGTGCTAACCGTGGAGCTGACAGTGTAACCGCGGAGCTGAGAGGAACAAAGGTAAAATCTGAGTTTATTAAAATGTGTTTAGCTTTATTAAACACTGGAAACCCCTGCACGTTATTTCTTCCAACATGCGTTACTACGGAGCCCCTAAGGGGCCGTGGTTAAATAAAAATAGTTAATGACATCGCGTTCCCTCGCGAAGGTTCTGCATTACGATGAAACCGTTCGCGTTCGCTTGCAAAAGCTGTGCTTTGCTAAACTCAGAGACGGAGCAGCTCATTGACCTTTATGTTGATCCTGGATTGAAATATAAAGTCATAGAGTCGCTTCTCAGAATCAAACATGATTCTGCTGTTAGTGACTCAAACTGAGGCTGAGGTCGAGTTTCCTCACAGTAAAATATGGAGTCAGTAGTGTTCCAGAATGTGTGAGAGGAGCTCCTGGTGTCCGAGAGAGGGATGTTCCGGTCTGAGAGGAGCTCCTGCTGTCTGAGAGAGGGATGTTCCGGTCTGAGAGGAGCTCCTGCTGTCTGAGAGAGGGACGTTCCGGTCTGAGAGGAGCTCCTGCTGTCTGAGAGGAGCTCCTGGTGTCCGAGAGAGAGATGTTCCGGTCTGAGAAGAGCTCCTGCTGTCTGAGAGAGGGACGTTCCGGTCTGAGAGGAGCTCCTGCTGTCTGAGAGAGGGACGTTCCGGTCTGAGAGGAGCTCCTGCTGTCTGAGAGGAGCTCCTGGTGTCCGAGAGAGAGATGTTCCGGTCTGAGAAGAGCTCCCGGTGTCTGAGAGAGGGATGTTCCGGTCTGAGAGGAGCTCCTGGTGTCTGAGAGAGAGATGTTCCGGTCTGAGAAGAGCTCCTGGTGTCCGAGAGAGGGATGTTCCGGTCTGAGAGGAGCTCCTGGTGTCCGAGAGAGAGATGTTCCGGTCTGAGAAGAGCTCCCGGTGTCTGAGAGAGGGATGTTCCGGTCTGAGAGGAGCTCCTGGTGTCCGAGAGAGAGATGTTCCGGTCTGAGAGGAGCTCCCGGTGTCTGAGAGAGGGATGTTCCGGTCTGAGAGGAGCTCCTGGTGTCCGAGAGAGGGATGTTCCGGTCTGAGAAGAGCTCCTGGTGTCCGAGAGAGGGATGTTCCGGTCTGAGAGGAGCTCCTGCTGTCTGAGAGGAGCTCCTGCTGTCTGAGAGGAGCTCCTGCTGTCTGAGAGGAGCTCCTGCTGTCTGAGAGGAGCTCCTGCTGTCTGAGAGGAGCTCCTGCTGTCTGAGAGGAGCTCCTGGTGTCCGAGAGAGGGATGTTCCGGTCTGAGAGGAGCTCCTGCTGTCTGAGGGGAGCTCCTGCTGTCTGAGGGGAGCTCCTGCTGTCTGAGAGGAGCTCCTGCTGTCTGAGAGGAGCTCCTGGTGTCTGAATGAGGGACGTTCCGGTCTGAGAAGAGCTCCCGGTGTCTGAGAGAGGGACGTTCCGGTCTGAGAGGAGCTCCTGGTGTCTGAGAGAGGGATGTTCTGGTCTGAGAGGAGCTCCTGCTGTCTGAGAGGAGCTCCTGGTGTCTGAGAGGAGCTCCTGGTGTCCGAGATGTCAGAGTGAGAGATGTTCCAGCGCACCAATCATGGCATCTTTTCTTAAGCAGCTTTATTCCGATTGGTCAGGGTCCGTTCGTGGCCGTGGATGGGTTAAAGTTTTCTAGTAAATGAATAGAAATGATGGATCAGTAATGCTCGGTCTCGACTGTGTTTGGACTCAGTCCTGTCCGGGTCTCAGGGTGAGGTGGACCTGGAAATTGTTATGGAGACCAGCCCTGTGTGCTGCCTCTATCTGAGGTACCTGGAAGCTGAATTATTGCTGAATATCATCAAAACCAGAATAAACAGAATAAAAACAGCCCTTCCTCCATATTAGAGGTTCACAAATTTTCACAACTCGTGGCCACGCAATCGACCACAAACGCTTCCGCAGATTTAAGCGATCAGATCGTCTTGTTCTGACTTTCAATGCTGCTGCTGCGTCTGTTTAATGATAACTGTTGCTCTGCCTGCCTGTTTTTCCCTGGTTTGAATTCTGATATTTTATACTAATGCTGGTATCCGGTGTGGTCCAGAGGAGGATGGGTTCCCCTTTTGAGTCTTGGTTCCTCTCAGTGTTTCTTCCTTTTTTAGGGAGTTTTTCCTGCCACTGTTGCCATTGGCGACGCTCATGGGGGCTCAGACCCAGATTTTTCTGTACGGCTGCTTTGTGACAACACCTGTTGTAAAAAGCTCTATATAAATAAACTTTGACTTGACTTGAGTGCTGGATGTCCAGCTGAAGAGAGGACAGCTGAGGAGTTCTGGCTCAATTCGACAGGTTTAGATATGTTAGCTGTGCACAGTCATAGTGATGGTGTAAATTGTTCGAAAAACTATTTCTGTACTCGTTTTCAGTTCCCATGCAGGTGAGACTCAGTGCTGCATGTTCACTGCTGTGTTTCAGTCATTGTGGTTACGCTTGCTCTGAAAATATAAACATAACCAGCTAAGGTTTTGCTCAATCAATGAGCTCGATATAAAAATTGTGGTGCCGCCCCTGCGCCTATGGATTGGGTCAACTGGGTCGGCAGAGAGGAGCCCATAGACCGTGTTTAGTTTAGATTTAACGAGTCGGATGTTGTTGTAATGTTGAGTAAAGTTAAATGTTAGTATTGTAACAAATCTTTGCATTTGAAATGCATTAAAAAAACGTCTGTTTCATCATGGTTCACTGGGGGCTGCAGGCCATAGTCTTAAAACCACTGTTGTATATGTTTAGGTCAGTTCTGTTCTCTCTTTCTCTCTCTCCTCTCCTGGTCAGTACTGATGGTGTGTGTGTGTCTGTAGGTAAGTTCTGTTCTCTCTTTCTCTCTTCTCTCTCTCCTCTCCTGGTCAGTACTGATGGTGTGTGTGTGTGTCTGTAGGTCAGTTCTGTTCTCTCTTTCTCTCTTCTCTCTCTCCTCTCCTGGTCAGTACTGATGGTGTGTGTGTGTCTGTAGGTCAGTTCTGTTCTCTCTTTCTCTCTTCTCTCTCTCCTCTCCTGGTCAGTACTGATGGTGTGTGTGTGTCTGTAGGTCAGTTCTGTTCTCTCTTTCTCTCTTCTCTCTCTCCTCTCCTGGTCAGTACTGATGGTGTGTGTGTGTGTCTGTAGGTCAGTCATGCAGTCCTGCAGTTCTGCTCTCTGTATCCTGATCTTACTGATCTCTACAGTCACTACTGGTAAGAACTGAACTGACACTCCTTGATCATCTTATTAAAGATTTCACTGTATTTTACTTTCACTTTGGTTTCTGAGCCAGAATTCATTAAGGTAACATCATGTAATCATTGTTTATTTTAATTTTGTCCATATTTAAGTGGATGATATGAAATGTGTGACTGGAATGTTTTACTTAGTGCCTCACTCTCCCTGCATTAGTCAGTAAAACAGGTCTGATTCAGGTGATGTAGTGAAATCAGTATTTAGGGTGTGTAGTGTGATTCACTCTGAACTGTGACTTATCTGTCTTCTCAAACACATGTGAACCAGCTGTTCCTCCAGTGAAGGTGAATCTTCATGACTCTGCTACTCTGTCCTGCTCTGAGAGATGCTCTGGTTTGGTCAGATGGTCTGTATCTCATAAACCCACTGATGTTCTGGCTGAGTGTGATCAGACTTCATGTAGATCAGTGAAGGAGGGATATCAGATGATCCATGATCAGTACCTGAAGGGGAATCTCTCTCTCACCATCACTGAAGCTGATCTCACTAAGAGAGGCTGGTACACATGTCAGTGTGATGATAAAGAGCTCTGTGATGTGAATCTTCAGATTGAGCGTGAGTGTCCACCTGTTTTTTTCCCTCCAGTGATTTAGATGTACAGCTTTGTATAAAATAGGCTCACAGTGGATGAAGTTCTGTTTGTTTTTCTCCCCAGCCTTTAACACTATGGTTCAGATAGAGCCTGGTGAATCTCTGGTCCTGGATTTGGACGTATCAGATTCTGTGAAGGTGATTTATAACAGCACAGATGCAGCTAATCGATCCAGTGGTCAGATCTGTACAGTGGATAGAGATTCACTACAGTGTAAACCTGAATACACTCAGAGAGTGTCAGTAATCTCTGCTCTGGAGCTGAGAGCAGTGACTCCATCTGATAACGGGGTTTATACTATACTGACCGTCAGGGAAGAAGAAGTTATCCACACCTACTCAGTGACCGTCCAAGGTATGAATTATTATTTTAGTATTAATGAATTATCTTTGCTCTTTAAGACATTCATTTTCCTGGTGATGATCTGGTGGTGGTGTGTAAACTGACCGATATGGAACAAAGTACAGAGGTTCTTCATTACATGGTTCCTGTCTATATAACATTTTAAACCTGAGGGTAATTATTTAGCTGTTGAGCTTCATCATTGGAAGATTCATCTGAATTATTCAGTAGCCGCTGTCAGACTAATTTGGATGTATAGCTGTATTGTATTCATTATAACGAAAGTAAAAATTTCCTGCTTACTCATAGATGAGTTTTTTTTGGTCACGCTTGGGTTGTGTTGTCAAATAGATGCACTGAAGTCAACCCTTCGCTGCTGACCACTGCGTGCTGGTTATCTGAACTGTTCAGCCTTTTAACACTGAGCCATTATTGACTTTACCTGAGCGGTAGCCTTGTGGATCTCCAACCTAGTTATCTGAAAACATGTATCCATGATGTAAATCAGGAAAAGTCCAACTGACTGAAAACCAATAGCTGCACAGTGTGGAACTGTATTCTATATTTTCCTACTTTTCTCTCTTTTTACTCTCTTTGGCTTTTGCTCAATCACTCCATCAGTTACACTGCTAACCATTTCACTTGACAGGATTTGTCAAACATTTTTGAAAATGTCAGAAGGCCTGAAGGGCTAAAGACTGACCATCTCACTGTGCATCGTCAGTCATTCTGATGGAGCTCCTCACCTGGAAAATCACTTCATACTATCAGGTTATAATAGTGCAGCGTAGGCCCATCTGTGGTTCAGATGTGCTGTATTACAGATCTGTGTGTGTTTGTTTTGTAGGTGACCACTCAGATCTGGACACAGATAAAGGAGCTGCTGTACCACCGTGTGTGATTGTACTGAGTGTGATGGGAGCTGCTGTGATTGTGGGGTTAGTGATGAAGATTCTGGTGCTGAGGAGAGAAAATCAGCTTCTACGAATGGAAGGTGCAAAGAACCGAGCTCAGATGAACCATCACTCTGACCACAGTCCAGGTGAAGAGAGACTGTCACCCCACGATAATGAATGACCAGGACCTCAGAGAGAGGTTACGCTCAGGATCTGGACAGCGTCGCTGTAAAAAAGCACTATAAGACTGACTTGACTTGACCAATCAGGGCTGAGCTTCTGACCAGTCGGGGACTGATGGAGTCCAGTCACGCTTTTCTTAGTGACGTTTGTGGCATGAATCACATGAAGATCAGTTCTTATGGTTCTTAGTAAGAGAAAATGAATTATACTACAGATATCAGGGCTGTAAACTACTTATTACTCCAATAAGCACTGAGATGTTATTAATGTAATGATTCATTTTCTGTGTTTAAACAGACTCTAATGATTTCACATGATTGGCTGTTCATCATAGACATCACACTTTCATGTTCAGAGCACTAAACACAGCCTGAGTATCTGAATGAACAGCTTAGCAGAGAAAGTTGTTAAACGAGTTTAATACTGTTCCCTCTGTTCGGCTTTGTGGAACTCAGTCAGGTGAACAGGGTTGATGTTCTGCTTAAACTGTACACCAAGCGGCCACTTCATTAGGTCCACCTCCTTGTTTCTACACTCACTGTCCATCTTATCAGCTCCACTGACCGTATAGTTTCACTCTGTAGCTCTACAGTTACAGACTGTAGTCCATCATACTTTGTTACCCAGCTCTTCAGTGGTCAGGACCCCTACAGGACCACCACAGAGCAGGTATTATTTGGGTGGTGGATCACTTTTTTTAAAACACCTCAGTGTCTCTGCTGGACTGAGAATAGTTCACCAACCAAAACATCCAGCCAACAGCGTCAGTGTATTTCGTTGCTGTTGGAACAAAACCTCAGATCTCCAAAATGGTAATTTTACAGGAGGAGCAAAAATAAATCTCCATTTTCAGTGTCAGTTAATGGAAAAACATTTTATCACAAGGAATTTTACACCATTTCTGATGGTGACAACATTTTCACGCAGTGTGAAGGAAAGCTGGTCATTTCAAATTATATTAAAAAAATTTAAAAACACCAAATACCAGATTTTGTTCCACAGGTTTTGTTTTGTTTTGATGTGGTGAATTATTGAACTCCTTTGAGTTCACACAGCCCTGAGTCTGATTAGATTTGGACCTTATCTGCTTTGTTTACAGTGGGCTGATGGTCAGCAGAGACAGTAGAAGGACAGTTAAACTCTTCGTAGATTCAGATGAATCAGTCCGTAAGTGAAGTGGTTGATCAGATTGATCAGATTCAGCACTGAAGCTTTCTGATTACAGGCGACTACAGGCAGCTACTGAGTCTTCACCACCTTCAGTTTTACAGTCTCAGAGAAGTGAAGAAAGTGTTTCTAATCTCTATTAAAGAGTTAAAGTTCTGATGTTCCTCTCGATCAGTGTGTGTTAATCAGCTCTGCACAGGTTCACTGTTCCTCAGTTCAGATCATCTACTGACTGTGGAGCTCTTCATCAGCTGGATCAGGTGTGTTTGGTCAGAGAACAGGGAGACTGCAGAGCTGCGGTTCTCCAGCAGCACATTCAGAAACACTAGTCTAGAACATTGTTTCCAGCACTGCTTCTGTACTACAGCTGTTCTTCTCCTCTGTAGAACATCTGATCAAACCCATCAGCTCCTCAACAGAAGCAGCAGTGCTGCAGTCACACCATCACAGCAGCAGTGTGGTTGTGTGTCTAAATGTTTTTGTACAGAAGTCATTGATACTTTTTACAAGGATTTGATAAAATTGATTTTTATATGGATTTTAAACTTTGTGGATTTGATCATTTTGCAGTTTTCTGCCTTCTGTAAGATTTGTTTTGACTGAATCCAGTGAGAAATTGACTGTCGTGCAAAAAAATCCATTTTTGTCATTTTTACGTTTTTTCATAATTTGAAAATTCCAGTTCCATTTTACATTGTGTTATAATTTCATGATGAATGTAAATAATCCAAAATTAACTTCCATTCAAAGTTAAAAAGCTTTTTCTTTCTCTGGTAAAATGACGTTTTTGGAGATAAAAGTTTGGTCTATTCATCATGAAAGTTTAGCGTGTTGTAAAGAGCAGCTGGTGTTTTCAAATTCTGTAAAAATGTACCCAAAGGAAAAAATGGAGATGGAACATTTTGCTCTGACAGCAGTGATGAATAAAGTGGTTTGGGATACTTAAAAGTAAAGTGTGCTTGTTTTTATTTATTTATGTACAAATATAGACATTTTATTTACTCTCCAGAACCACCAGTGAACCTACACGAGTCTTCTGAGTTTATATGAATGTTGATGATGAAAACAGTGGAGAATCTGAAAACTGTTTGTGGTCTATTTTGCTCTCCCACCGCGAATGGAATTAAAAAAATACAATTTAGACCAAAACCATCTCGATTAGTGTCTCAGTCATCAGGCAGTGAATTCATAACCATTTCCTGTAGGGACTTCCTGTGAGGGAGCTTTTAGAGTTCCTGTCACCACCACTGTGAACTGAATCTGAAAGTGTACAGACTTGAAGCCCCGCCCCCTGCGTGCGCAAGACCAAAACAGAAGATGAGAACAGCGTCCGTGCAGGAGGAACAGGAGGAAGTGAGCCGCGGTCAGCCGTATGCTTCTGTACTATTCCTGATATTCTGATAATAAACAGTCTGTCCACCATCAGGATGGATTTCCTCCAGCAGTGAGACAGACAGAGCGGTGAGTGACTCAGAGCTGAGAGCTGAAGTGTGTTTGGAGATCCTCTGTCTCTGTTTGGAGCTGCTGTCTGATCTGAAGCTCTTGTTGGTGAATTCAGTGAGTTACTGTGGTTTAGTGTGACTGATGTGTCAGTGTTATTGAGTGTGATGGTACAGGGTGTCTGAGCTCCTGTATGTAAGGAGAAATCAGGACTGATCTCTGATCAGAGGCTTTAACTGCACCACATCACCCCTGTTCACAGCAGGACAGCACCACGTCCATAAAACTGCATTTAAACTGGTGATCTTTAATATTAAAGCAGCTTTTATACACTGATCCACTAAAATGATGGATGAATAACGGTGGTAGGTCACTGGTGCCCCTGGTGGTGTGTGTTAGTTATTGCAGTGGCGCATTGTAAATAGCGGTGGTACGTCACTGTGTGATGAGCGCCCTCTAGCGGGATGTGACACTTGGCCTATTTTCTTGCCTTTACTACAGCTTGAACCACTTAACACACTGACTCCATCTAAAACCATGTAGATCATTTCAGCCAGAGGGATGATGTTCATTTTCACTCTCATAACTTTAATATGTTTTAAGATATTTTATAATATCAGTAAAGAAATTTTCCTTGAATTTCCAAATAAAACTTGGATGTTGGAATCTTCTGTTTTTTGTGTGTTGAAGTTACTTTGATTTGAAATTACAGTAAACAGTAAAAGCTTTGCTGTAAACATTATTATTATTATTATTATTATTATTGATTTTGTCAGCATTTCCTTTAGGAACTGCATATCTGTGTCATAGCTATGACTGTTATACTTGAACAAAAATAAAAATATAAGCAAAATTGGCCTCTGAAGTGGGACATGACGTTGTAATAAACGCCCCCTAACAGCCCCTCATATCACTGAGCGCTGGCTTAGACCACCTACTGTGATGTCACATTTCAACAGGTATGGTATTTATTACACTGTCATGTTTCACTGTGATCCTGCACAGCCCTTTAGAGACTGAAGCATCCTTAAATTCAAAAACTGACCCAAAACATTCCTTTTATGTTTAAACCATAACAGTTCAGTTCTGTATCAGTCAAACACTGTAATACCAACATGACTGTAGTTCACTTGCTGTTATACAGCTTTTAAAACTGTGGTGAGCTTTCTAACATATTTCTATGTGTTAGAAATGTTTTTAACACATAGTCCTGTCCAAATTTGGTCTTGTGGCTGGGCTTGCAGCTCTGCTCACTGCATTAACTTTGGTGGTGTTGAAGTTGAGAAAAGATATCCTGGCATCCGTTGCATGGAGTAACACTAGTACAGGCAAGAGGCCCACATTGCCCTGTAGCGACACACAGTGACACAGTGCTGACCATGCTGCTCCATTCTGGTTCAGATTCAGGGCCTCGTGGCCTGCATTAGAAGACCAGCCAGGAGCAGGTTACAGTGGTCAAGCCTCGAGGTGACGAGAGACTGAACAAGCACCTGGGAAAAAGACAAAGGGTTGAATCCTTCTACAAGTTGTAGAGGAGAACCCTGCAGAGTTACTGTTCTCTCCTTCCAGAAGTTCCTCATCATTTGTGGAAAGCTCAAAGGCAGGATCTGTATTTGAAGACGCTGAAGGATTCTAAAGTACGGACAGTGTCCCCACTGATGGACGGTGCTTTATCCCAGCAGAAAACACTGAAGGAGTTCCAGTTTCTGAAAACCTTCACTGATAACGACTGGCTGGAACACTGACCGCTCTGATCTTCACAGAGGACAGAAACTCTCAGTGCAGGATTCATCACAGTTCTGCCTGCAGAGTTAGTTACTGCACTGGTGTTCATCTGATATACTGATTCTTCATTCAGTACAGGACTTTAACAGTTCCAGTCCTGAAGGGCTGCAGCTTTTCCAGCTCACAAATCTACTGAACCTGTACATCGTTAGGGGTTTATAACAGTTCATTATGGCAGCAATTAAAGCACAACAAAGGGAGAATCATGAAATAAGAACATAATCCTTCAAATATTAGTATTGAACAGTTTCTTTCGTTCTTGTGTTTGGGTGAAGGAGCTCCTCCAGTTCTGCAGAGTCTCTCTGCACATCCTGAACCAAAAGCAAAAGGAAACAAAAAGACTCAGTTCATGGTGCTCAGGTACCGTGAATATAGTTTTATAGTCTTATACTGCCATCTTGTGGACATTCACCAACATAGCATTATGTAGATACTGTCGCAACTGAATGACTCACAAAAAGATCTAATTTCTTACTAAAACCTCAAATCAGCAACTTAATCAACACTAAACACAGAACTGACCTCTGTTCATCTCCCTCTTATACTCAGTACAGCTCATCTCCATAATGACCACATCCACACTGATCCTCCACAGCCTACTGCATCATATACTCAGTATTTATCACTGCAGAGCCTTAAAGTATCCAAACGATTCCTGTCAAATCATACAGCATATATTAAAGACCCTCTCCTCTCCTGGTCAGTACTGATGGTGTGTGTGTGTCTGTAGGTCAGTTCTGTTCTCTCTTTCTTCTCTTCTCTCTCTCCTCTCCTGGTCAGTATTGATGGTGTGTGTGTGTCTGTAGGTCAGTTCTGTTCTCTCTTTCTTCTCTTCTCTCTCTCCTCTCCTGGTCAGTACTGATGGTGTGTGTGGGTCAGTTCTGTTCTCTCTTTCTTCTCTTCTCTCTCTCCTCTCCTGGTCAGTATTGATGGTGTGTGTGTCTGTAGGTCAGTTCTGTTCTCTCTTTCTTTCTTCTCTCTCTCCTCTCCTGGTCAGTATTGATGGTGTGTGTAGGTCAGTTCTGTTCTCTCTTTCTCTCTTCTCTCTCTCCTCTCCTGGTCAGTATTGATGGTGTGTGTAGGTCAGTTCTGTTCTCTCTTTCTCTCTTCTCTCTCTCCTCTCCTGGTCAGTATTGATGGTGTGTGTAGGTCAGTTCTGTTCTCTCTTTCTCTCTTCTCTCTCTCCTCTCCTGGTCAGTATTGATGGTGTGTGTGTCTGTAGGTCAGTTCTGTTCTCTCTTTCTTTCTTCTCTCTCTCCTCTCCTGGTCAGTATTGATGGTGTGTGTAGGTCAGTTCTGTTCTCTCTTTCTCTCTTCTCTCTCTCCTCTCCTGGTCAGTATTGATGGTGTGTGTAGGTCAGTTCTGTTCTCTCTTTCTCTCTTCTCTCTCTCCTCTCCTGGTCAGTATTGATGGTGTGTGTGTCTGTAGGTCAGTTCTGTTCTCTCTTTCTTTCTTCTCTCTCTCCTCTCCTGGTCAGTATTGATGGTGTGTGTGTCTGTAGGTCAGTTCTGTTCTCTCTTTCTTTCTTCTCTCTCTCCTCTCCTGGTCAGTACTGATGGTGTGTGTAGGTCAGTTCTGTTCTCTCCTTCTCTCTTCTCTCTCTCCTCTCCTGGTCAGTACTGATGGTGTGTGTGTGTGTAGGTCAGTTCTGTTCTCTCTTTCTCTCTTCTCTCTCTCCTCTCCTGGTCAGTATTGATGGTGTGTGTAGGTCAGTTCTGTTCTCTCTTTCTCTCTTCTCTCTCTCCTCTCCTGGTCAGTACTGATGGTGTGTGTGTGTCTGTAGGTCAGTCATGCAGTCCTGCAGTTCTGCTCTCTGTGTCCTGGTCTTACTGACCATTACAGTCACTGCTGGTAAGAACTGCACTGTCACTCCTTCATCATCTTCTTAAAAACTGTACTATCAGTTTGGTTTGTGGACCAGAGTTTCTCTAAACAACAGAATCAAGATAAAATGATCTAATTAATATGTTTGTTACCCAGTTAGCTGTAAAATGATGTGGTATGTTGTAATGAACAGTAATATGATCTGTAGTACATACAGTTTATTAAAGCTTCACTGTGTAAAACTAAAGCAGTGTCATTACTGAGTGAGGAGGATATAAACAGGCTAAAATATGGTGAGTGAGCTGCTGTGAGTCTGTAAAACCTGAAATAATCATTTAAAACTCCGAGGAGTCGAGTTTTTCACACCACGTCGTACGTCTTTACATATTAACGTCACACAGACTCAAACAGAAGGTCCGGCTCGATGTTTCGGCCTCAAATGATCTCAGAATCAACATCACACTGATGAAGATGTGATGACAACAGTAGATAATTCACTCACATCCTCAGAGATGCTCCTTCACCAGGTTTAGACTGAGTTCTCTCTGAATTCTCTTTTAATAGTCAGATTCATCCACTCAGGGAAGGGGGCGAAGCACAACCCACACTACTGAATGTTCTTCTGCATGTTGGGGGTGCAGTTACACATTTTCACCAGAGAGGTCTCCAAATCCCCTTACGCAGTGAAGCTTTAACTGTACAAACTTATTTAAAGCCTTCACTTCAGGGATGATAGCTGAGCGCCCTTAGGAGTCACATCTCCAGGTGTGACTTGATGTTTGTATATTGTAGATGTTAGGTAGGACATGCTAGGCTGGCAGAACTGAAATCTTTGTTTGTTTGTTTGTTTTTTCTAGAGAGTTATACAGTTACCACAGTCAAGTCTGTTCATCACATCTACAACCACAGTGTATACAGAGCACAAGAGGGTAACATGGCCTTAATAAAGAGTCATAATTTGATGGTTTATTATAGAAATTACTGATCCATTAAAATATGCCTGGATCTGAATCTGAACCTGCAACTTGATGATGTTTAGATATTTACTTTTCCTACAAATTAGAACTCTATTGACCACTTTTTCACTGAGATGCTCTTATTTTACTCATTTGTATTTCTCACTCATTTAACTTCTAAATCAGGTTCTCCTCCAGTGAAGGTGAAGCTTAATGAGACGGCTACTCTGCCCTGCTCTGAGAGATGTTCTGGTTTGGTCAGATGGACTGTGTCCAATAAACCCACTGATGTTCTGGCTGAGTGTGATCAGACTTCATGTAGATCAGTGAAGGAGGGATATCAGATGATCCATGATCAGTACCTGAAGGGGAATCACTCTCTCATCATCATTAAAGCTGATTTCACTAAGAGAGGCTGGTACACGTGTGACTGTGACGATAAGGATATCTGTGATGTGTGTCTACAGATTGAGCGTAAGTGTCCATCTGTTTTCTAAACTGACCACTTTTCAGGAGGCTCGCTTCCAGTTTCTCAAAGAAATCTGCAGGGAAATTTTTCCACAGTTCCGAAGTTCAGTCTTAGAAGTTAGTTCAGCATTTTCTGCTTCTTACCATCCAAGTTGAGGTCTGGACTCTGAGGTGGTCAGTCCATCGTTCAGTTTCTTTGTTTGATGTGTCCGTCTCCTTTTCTCAGTGAGGTTCTTCTTTAACAGCTACACATCCTTTCAGACCCACAGCGCTGAGTCGTCTTCTCACAGTGGAAGGATGGACAGAAACACCTGTGGATGTTTTCAGATCTGATCAGCTTGATTTTCTTCTCTCTCTCAAAGATGAAAGGTTTAAGTGCTGTTTATCTGATGGGGCAGTTTTGGGGTCGACCAGCTCCTCCAGGTGGTTGTTAGGAGGCACATTTTCTCTGTAGCTTTTAGCCAGTTGTGGAAACTCCTGTTTTTGACTTTGACTTTCTTTTTAATTATGCAAGTGGATTATCTTATATCTCTTTATATCTCATTATATCTCCTGAAAAATAAACAAATAAATAAATGAACTTTTGACTTTGGTTTGCACACAATTCATAAGTTTCTATTTGTGTTTCTCCTCAGCCTTGAATACTACAGTTCAGATAAAGCCTGGTGAATCTCTGGTGCTGAAGTTGGACGTATCAGATCTGGTGAAGGTGATTTATAACAGCACAGGCACAGCTGGACCATCCAGTGGTCAGATCTGTACAGTGGATGGAGTCTCACTACAGTGTAATGATGAGTATAAATGGAGAATGGCACTGTTCTCTGCTCTTGAGCTGAGAGAGGTGAAGCCATCTGACAGTGGAGATTATATAATTATGGATGACAGGAATGAAGAGGTCATTCACACCTACACAGTGACCGTCCATGGTGTGTATTTTTCCAGCTTTAGTTGTATTTTTCTTTTTATGGACCTTGTAGGGTGTAAAGTGGATGAAGATGGAATGTGTAAATATAATGTTTACAGTCTTGTTGTGGATTTTAATGGTGACATTTCACAATATTGCACATCTGTGTGTCCTTCTGTTCTGTAGATGACCAGCCGTGTCCGTGCAGAGATCAGGGAGCTGTTGTACCAGCGTGGGTGTTTGCTCTGACGATGGTTGCACTAGTAGTTGTGTGTTTGGTATCAGTGGTGAGGATTTTGCGAAAGAGGAGAGAAATTCAGCAGGACTGAATGATGAATGCAAAGAAAGTCGAGTTGAACTGAAAGAAAGAACCGCGATGTTCAACTACTGTTCACCACGATGGAGAAGAAATGAGCTATTTGCTACTTTTAAGCAGGAAAGCTGCAAGATCCAATCCAAGATCCAAGACCAAGTATCCAATCAGCCAATCACATGGCAGCATGAGTCTAGAGCTTCAGTTAATATTCCCCTAAACATCATGAGCAGGGAAACATTATGATCTAAGTGACAACTGGAACAGAGAGAAGTAGTGAAAACAGAATCGGAAGAAGTAGAAGGAAAGAAAGGGTGAGATAACTGTCACAAGTCAGTTTCTTAAAAGATACATAATAAATTTTTAAAAATGATAATAATATGTAAGTATGATTAATTACAATTATATGATATATAAATAAAAGTGTAATATCTTTGTAAAAGTAAACAGACTCAATAACTCCCAGCACACGTCAGAGTCCACAACTGAATAGAGGTGCACACTGCAATCTAATAGAGGTGGACTCTACAACTGAATAGAGGTGGAATCTTCAAGTGAGTTATTTCAGAACAGGGAGAAGGAGTGAAGGAGGATCAGAACAGGGAGAAGGAGTGAAGGAGGATCAGAACAGGGAGAAGGAGTGAAGGAGGATCAGAACAGAGAGAAGGAGTGAGGGAGGATCAGAACAGGGAGAAGGAGTGAAGGAGGATCAGATCAGGGAGAAGGAGTGAAGGAGGATCAGAACAGGGAGAAGGAGTGAAGGAGGATCAGAACAGGGAGAAGGAGTGAAGGAGGATCAGACAGGGAGAAGGAGTGAAGGAGGATCAGAACAGGGAGAAGGAGTGAAGGAGGATCAGAACAGGATCTGCTCCTTCACTCCACTCTTCTGCTCTGAGCTAAATGACTGTTCCTGAGTGTTACACAGTGTTAAAGCTGCATGTTGAAGGTGTTCATTCTGTCACTATGGTAATAACTCAGCTCTGCCCTTTACAGAACAGCTTAGATTCTGTCTTTGTGATGAACATTAAAGTAGCTACATTAGCGCTGCATGTTCTGTAGCTGAACTCTACCTGTCTGCATGTTGTAATCCTCTCATTAGCATGTTTCAGTATACTGAGCTGATATACAAGTTTATATGATGTACAAAGCTAAACTGCTATGTAGCCAAATCACTGTTCACTAATAAAGTCTGAGTCAGTGTAAAAACATGAACTCTGCACTATGATAACACAAATACCAACCAGTACAGTCATGATAAGATATCCAGGAGGAGTTAACCTGTAAAAGTAACTCATTTTGGGTGGAAGGGAAGAAAAGTAAACATATTATTTTTAATATGTACTTCAATCATATCAATAAACGTCACCACTGAGCTCTAATCTTGTGTTGGTCATGGTTTAGACAGCTTTAGAGACATGAAGGAGAAGATCACTGTCTGTTGTACTCAGGTTGTGTTCTGCCTTGTTATTTCTGGTTTCCTTTGCTTTTTTAACTACTTCTTCACTGTTACTCTGTTATCTGACCCTCTGATGTGGACAAAGTGATTTCATGTTCCTCTTCAGCACTGTGAACTCGTCTGAATATCTGAGGATATTTAGTTTGTGCTGTTTTATGAAAGTTGTGTATGTATATTAATATTTAGTGTTTTTGGGTGAACTGGGCTGCAGGGCCTCATCTCTGTTCTGTGCACTCAGACCAGCTCAGTGTATATTAGTGTATGTTTAAGTACATTTTCATATGTAATGCAGTCATTACTGTGTGAGAAAGAGGGACTTTGTTTTTGTTTACTCTTTGAGACGTGTGTTGTTTGTTGTTTTAAAGAGAACAGCTGAAGTGTTTACTGGATTTCTGAGAATGTTAAAGCACTCTGACTGAGTTGTGTTCCTGCTGTACTGCTGTGAACTCGGGTGCTAAGAAGGACCTGTAGTTTTGATTTGAATGTGAATGTTTTCATGTGTGATTACAAATAAAATGCTGATTTTTCATTTTACGCACAGTCTAATTTCCTTTTTTTCTTTTTCTTCATCCTTTATTGACTTTATTGTACATATTTACTCTGTCAGTTGGCCTCTGAAAATAAGTTTAACCATGATGAAAAAAGTCAATTAAATTCACTTTATACTTGACTTTTTGGTGACTTGAAATGAATACAGTTAGAAATTACAGCAAACATGCTAAAATGACTACAATGAAACAATAAAATAACTTTTTTTTTCTCAAGTTATGAAAAACTTCTGACCTTTTTTTGGATTCTCTTCACTCGTGTCACTGCTGTAGAATATTTTCTTCTGTTTAATAAAACTCAGTTTAATCTGAAACTCTGTGCTTCATCACTGAGAAAGATGTTGAGGGTTTTATGAGCTGATATTAATCTTTACTATAAACACTCTGCTTTTGTAATAAGCTCTGTAGCTGAGAGATGTTAATGTTACTGTATCAGAGGAGCTCTTCTCTTAGCGCTTCATCAGGACATTCATCCATGACACAATGCATCAAAAGCTTTATTTAACTGAAACGGTGGTTCCTTTAACACATTCCCTCCATTCTGGATGTTCTTTAAAGAATTTTCAGAGCCTGAAGAAATGGATCTAAATATGATACGTTAAGACAAGCGAAGGTCTTCAGTATCTGTGTACACAGAGCTGCACTGCAGGTCATTATGTGTGTTTATGGATAACGTTCAGAAAGCATCCCCCATTAGACACCAACAGCAGAGACTGGATTCATTCAGGAAGGTCCACTCACTAAAATCTACAGACTTACTGACCCTTATTCACGTTTTGTACGGTCAAATCTGACTGTAAAACCAGTGCACACATTTCTAACACAGTCACAAGGTCAGAGAGGAACTTGGCACTGCTGGTCGATGGTCAGCACTGTCAAACTGCATGGAGCCAAAAATGGCCCACATATTAAAAATGTTCAAATAGCCCACGTTTCAAAACAGATCTGAGACTCTTCAGGTGAAGAATGTCAGTTAAAGGAACTGCAGTGGATAAAGACCTTCATCAGGAACGTCCTGCAGCGTCATAATCAAACATCTTCAAGAACCTGCAGTGACTGATTATACCATCCTACACAGATGTTATCCAGTGAAGCAGTGTCTTGTTAAATCTGGACAGGATATCAGTGTGAACTGCTCTTTCTGTGATGTAAACCCAGAAACTCTTCCACACCTGTTCTGGAGCTGCTCCCACACAGAGAAGCTCTGGGTGTATGAAGATTTATCACGGACTGTACTGACCCTGACTTTAAGCTCTGCCTGGATGATGAGTTGTTCGGCTTCAGTCGTTATAAAAATAATACAATTCGCTGTTGTTGGAACAAAACCTCGTATCTCCAAAACAGTAACTTTACAGGAGAAGGAAAAACATACTGTACTTTCAATGTAAGTCAATGGAACCAGACATTTTTACCAAGTCATTTGGGTCATTTCTTTTAGTCCATTCATCATTAAATTTACATACAGTGTAAAGGGCAACAGGTATTTTCAAATTATGTCAGAAATGAGAAAACATCAAAATGGAGATGTAATGGTTGAGGCATGGAGGCGGGATGCAAATGCGAGTTATTTTTATTCAAAATAGAGTTAGAGTCCAGAATCGGAGTAGAAGAAGATTGAAAAACAGACGAGTCCATGACAAAAACAAAAACAAACTACAAGAAGAAAGCAAACAAGAGACAAGGAAACTTCCACACATACATCCACAATGCAAGACAAAGACCAACCAAACACAGGGGTATAAATACACTGAGGGAAAATAAGAAACACCTATCATTACGACTAATGAGGGGCAGAGCAGATAACAAGGGGGCAGGACCAGGGAGGAGACACACAACAACAACAACAACAACAACAAAAGCACATGGTATAAGAAAACAAAAAGGCACATGGCTACAACAGAGGGGAAGAAACAGACACTCAGAGGGACAAAGGAAGAATCCGTGACAGGAGATACGAGGTTTTCTTCTGATAACAACGAATTAAAGAATGTTATATTATTAATGATAACGCTGTTGGCGGCATTTCATATTCATAAATGTGTATTTACTGACTCCAAACCAGATTTTCTCATATTTGAAATACGACATAACTTCTGTCACCTTCTCCAAAAACAAAACAGCTGGTAAAACAATAAATATCTGCACTTTATTTTAAAAAATGTGCTCTTTTCTTTTTCTTTTACTACATTGTTTAAAATTATTACAATATTTATATATTTGTTTCTGCAGATTGTTGACTGAAATTATTGCATTTGTTCTACTGTAATTCTATAAATATAATGAAACGAATGACCTGCAGCGACTGATGGGTAAACTGCATTACATGTTCTGCTCAAATAAGGAGACTATCATTAGGTGGTACTGAGTGGAGAATGGATCTGTATTTGGCTCTTTTGTTCTGTTGTATTTCCAATAAACTACCATAAAAATGCAGGTCATCGCTGAATATCCTAAAATTATGAACTGATGCTGCGATTCTGGATCGTATATGAAATTTGCTACAAGACCATCATCTCCTTTATAGGAATTCATTTGTGCAGGAACATGAACACCATTAAGGAAATTTCCCTCCACAATTTTTCTCAGAAAATACATAAAAATCTGATAGTTTCCAAAAGCGATTTACAAAAAGAACATTGTGAAGAAGTATGAATGTTAAACATGGACAACATGTTTATAATATTTTAAAGAGAATCTGTTTCACTTTGTTGTGGATCAGAAATTTACTAATATTCTGCAACAACATTTATGTCAAAAGGAAAAAATGATCTTCTGTTTATAGAAAGGCTTTGAGGGAGCAGCTATAGACGTTTGTTACTCTTTCCAAAAAGGTCTGACCCATAAGGTGAGCTTATAAATTCCTCTGTGACGGTGACAGACGGAGCCAGACGCTCACAGCAGAGGCTTGAGAACAATAATAGCAGTAGGACAATCCAAACTCACAGTCTGTGAACACAAGCAGAAGGTCGACAAGCAGAGAATCAGAACAGGACAAGAGGGCAGGACTAGAATGGTGGACATAAACAAAATACTGGTCACTGAGAGACTGAAACTGGCTCAAAGGAAACACTCAGAGCTGGAGCTGAAGCCCAGACTTAAATACTAAACTAACCAGCACCTGAAACAACAGGTGTGGATAATCAGTAGTCAGGTGATCTGGAACAGGGATAGGTGGATCTGAGAGAGTCCTGTGTCACATGCTGCAGCAAGGAGTTCTGGGAAATGTAGTCCTGAGCAGCTATGTTGGCTGTAGGCACAGCCAGGTCTGAGCTTTTAAAAGGTCTGTAGCTGAGCTTTTATAAGCTGAGCTTTTATAAGATGAAGTAATTTTGGTGAAATAATTTTCCTAATATTCTCTTTTTTTTCCATGAAATTTCCAATCCTGAATAATCTATGAATCTATTGTAAGAACATCTTTTGACCCTTGCTTCTGCTCCATCTTGGCAATGTGATTTTATGACACAGTGTCCTGTGGGTTATCCATGGCTGCTTCAGAATGATGGAATGAATCTTTCTTTCTTTTTGATTTTACCTGATCTGAAGCCCAAATGCCTTTGCAGAGGATCTAAATGACTATCATATCACAGATCAGAGCAAAATGAGGAAAAGCAGATCAGAAAGAGAGATTCATTCAGCTGTTCAGACGCAGCTCTAGTTAAACAGCACATAAGAAGCCCTGCACTGAGGGTGCAGATCATCATCAATGATATCAATAATAATCAAATTCATCTAGTGGATTTATCACGTTTGTTATTAGTGTGCTAACCCTTCACAAACTCACTGTTTTCCAGCTAAAACGAGGTGAAGTAGGTTATGCCGTGAAGTCAGCTAATGATGTTATCTGAGATCCCGGATGTGTAGCCTCTCCCTGTTTCTGTTGATTGCCCACTCACTGTAAACATTACAGTTTCATGTTTAGTGGCTGAGTCGAGTAGACATATGTAAACAGTACACAGGCTGGAGTGACTTGGAGACTTAATGGACACTCCAGCTAGGAAGAGTCTGGTAATGAAAGAGCTGGTTAAGTGGGCCTATACAGATCATTCACTCCACTCTCTGATTGGGGGTTTGTACAGATCCATGCAGTCAGTAACGCTGCTTTTATCATATTGGTATTCCCATTTGGCATCCCTACGATATAGTTCCTTTTCATTTGATTCATTTTATTAGAATCACAAACCAAAAAAAAAAACAAAAACAAAAACAAAAAACCTATAAAACAGTGATCTCTCTAATCTCCCACACTGTGTGAGTATCTACCTTGTTGGTCAACTGTGGTGGTGAAATCTTTTGTTTTTATGCACCGTTTGTGTTTGCAGTCTTCTTTTCAACAGTGGTCAGATTCTACTACAGAGCCACTCTTGTCTGGATATTTTTGGGTGGTGGTCCACAATCAGCCTACGTGTGGTGCCCTTTAAGCTGTTGGTGCCCAGTCCTGGTCCTGTAGTCTACCACCCTGCAGAGTTTAGCTCCAATCCTTATCTAGCACACCTGATCCACACTCTTAAAAAAGATGGTTTTTCAAGCTTCTTTAGTAAAGAAAATGGTTCTATATAGGACCACGAACACTCACAGAACCTTTTGCGTAAGTGTACTTTGTAATAAGAGGAGAACCCTTTTTGGTACAGCACATTCTTCATCAATCTAAAGAACCCTTTCACAATGCAAAGAACACTTACACAAAAGGTTCTTTGAGTGTTCATGGTCTACAGCACGTTCTCCATTAATATGAAGAAGTATTTCATGATTCAAAGGACCCTTAAATCAGGCAAAGTGTTCTTTAAAGGATTGTGGTTCTATATAGAACCATTTTCCTTACCAAAGAACCCTTGAAGAACCATCATTTTTAAGCGTGCAGGGACTGAAGACGTTCAATAACTGATAGTTTCAGCAGGTGTGTTGGATCTAAACTCTGCAGGGTGGTAGATCTCCAGGACTAGGATTGACAAAGAAATGCTCCAGCATTTTTCAGTGTTCTCTCTTCTCTCTCTCCTCTCCTGATCAGTACTGATGGTGTGTCTGTAGGTCAGTTCTGTTCTCTCCTTCTCTCTTCTCTCTCTCCTCTCCTGGTCAGTACTGTAGTGTGTGTGTGTCTGTAGGTCAGTTCTGTTCTCTCCTTCTTTCTTCTCTCTCCTCTCCTGGTCAGTACTGATGGTGTGTGTGTCTGTAGGTCAGTCCTGTTCTCTCCTTCTTTCTTCTCTCTCCTCTCCTGGTCAGTACTGATGGTGTGTGTGTGTAGATCAGTTCTGTTCTCTCTTTCTCTCTTCTCTCTCTCCTCTCCTGGTCAGTACTGATGGTGTGTGTGTCTGTAGGTCAGTTCTGTTCTCTCTTTCTCTCTTCTCTCTCCTCTCCTGGTCAGTACTGATAGTGTGTGTGTGTCTGTAGGTCAGTTCTGTTCTCTCTTTCTCTCTTCTCTCTCCTCTCCTGGTCAGTACTGATAGTGTGTGTGTGTCTGTAGGTCAGTTCTGTTCTCTCTCCTCTCCTAGTCAGTACTGATGGTGTGTGTGCCTGTCTGTAGGTCAGTCATGCAGTCCTGCAGTTCTGCTCTCTGTATCCTGATCTTACTGATCTCTACATTCACTGCTGGTAAGAACTCCACTGACACTCCTTTATTATCTTAAATATGTTACTGTGTTTTACTTTCGCTTTGGTTTCTGAGCCAGAACTGCTAGATGGGTATTAGGTATTAAGATATTAATACCTTTATTAGGTATAAGGTATTAAGATAACATTATGTAAGCATTATTTATTTAAATTTATTTTGTCCATATTCAAGTAGATGATATGAAATGTGTGACTGGAATGCTTTACTTAGTGCCTCACTCTCCCTGCATTGGGTAGTAGAATGAGTCTGATTCAGGTGATGTAGTGAAATCAGTATTTAGTGTGTGTAGTGTGATTCACTCTGAACTGTGACTTATCTGTCTTCTCAAACACATGTGAACCAGCTGATCCTCCAGTGAGGGTGAATCTTCATGACTCTGCTACTCTGCCCTGCTCTGAGAGATGCTCTGGTTTGGTCAGATGGTCTGTATCTCATAAACTCACTGAGGTTCTGGCTGAGTGTGATCAGACTTCATGTAGATCAGTGAAGGAGGGATATCAGATGATCCATGATCAGTACCTGAAGGGGAATCTCTCTCTCACCATCACTGAAGCTGATCTCACTAAGAGAGGCTGGTACACGTGTCAGTGTGATAAGAAAGAGCTCTGTGATGTGAATCTTCAGATTGAGCGTGAGTGTCCATCTGCTTTTTTCACTCCAGTGATTTAGATGTACAGCTTTGTATAAAATAGGCTCACAGTGGATGAAGTTCCTGTTTGTTTTTCTCCCCAGCCTTTAACACTATGGTTCAGATAGAGCCTGGTGAATCTCTGGTCCTGGATTTGGATGTATCAGATCCAGTGGACGTGATATATAACAGTACAAGTGCAGCTAATCGATCCAGTGGTCAGATCTCTACAGTGGATAGAGATTCACTACAGTGTAAACCTGAATACACACAGAGAGTGTCAGTAATCTCTGCTCTGGAGCTGAGAGCAGTGACTCCATCTGATAACGGGGTTTATACTATACTGACCGTCAGGGAAGAAGAAGTTATCCACACCTACTCAGTGACCGTCCAAGGTATGAATTATTATTTTAGTATTAATGAATTATCTTTGCTCTTTAAGACATTCATTTTCCTGGTGATGATCTGGTGGTGGTGTGTAAACTGACCGATATGGAACAAAGTACAGAGGTTCTTCATTACATGGTTCCTGTCTATATAACATTTTAAACCTGAGGGTAATTATTTAGCTGTTGAGCTTCATCATTGGAAGATTCATCTGAATTATTCAGTAGCCGCTGTCAGACTAATTTGGATGTATAGCTGTATTGTATTCATTATAACGAAAGTAAAAATTTCCTGCTTACTCATAGATGAGTTTTTTTTGGTCACGCTTGGGTTGTGTTGTCAAATAGATGCACTGAAGTCAACCCTTCGCTGCTGACCACTGCGTGCTGGTTATCTGAACTGTTCAGCCTTTTAACACTGAGCCATTATTGACTTTACCTGAGCGGTAGCCTTGTGGATCTCCAACCTAGTTATCTGAAAACATGTATCCATGATGTAAATCAGGAAAAGTCCAACTGACTGAAAACCAATAGCTGCACAGTGTGGAACTGTATTCTATATTTTCCTACTTTTCTCTCTTTTTACTCTCTTTGGCTTTTGCTCAATCACTCCATCAGTTACACTGCTAACCATTTCACTTGACAGGATTTGTCAAACATTTTTGAAAATGTCAGAAGGCCTGAAGGGCTAAAGACTGACCATCTCATTGTGCATCGTCAGTCATTCTGATGGAGCTCCTCACCTGGAAAATCACTTCATACTATCAGGTTATAATAGTGCAGCGTAGGCCCATCTGTGGTTCAGATGTGCTGTATTACAGATCTGTGTGTGTTTGTTTTGTAGGTGACCACTCAGATCTGGACACAGATAAAGGAGCTGCTGTACCAGTGTGGGTGATTGTACTGAGTGTGATGGGAGCTGCTGTGATTGTGGGGTTAGTGGTGCTGATTCTGCTGCTGAGGAGAGAAAATCAGCTTCTACAAATGGAAGGTGCAAAGAACCGAGCTCAGATGAACCATCACTCTGACCACAGTCCAGGTGAAGAGAGACTGTCACCCCACGATAATGAATGACCAGGACCTCAGAGAGACGTTACGCTCAGGATCTGGACAGCGTCGCTGTAAAAAGCACTATAAGATTGACTTGACTTGACCAATCAGGGCTGAGCTTCTGACCAGTCGGGGACTGATGGAGTCCAGTCACGCTTTTCTTAGTGACGTTTGTGGCATGAATCACATGAAGATCAGTTCTTATGGTTCTTAGTAAGAGAAAATGAATTATACTACAGATATCAGGGCTGTGAACTACTTATTACTCCAATAAGCACTGAGATGTTATTAATGTAATGATTCATTTTCTGTGTTTAAACAGACTCTAATGATTTCACATGATTGGCTGTTCATCATAGACATCACACTTTCATGTTCAGAGCACTAAACACAGCCTGAGTATCTGAATGAACAGCTTAGCAGAGAAAGTTGTTAAACGAGTTTAATACTGTTCCCTCTGTTCGGCTTTGTGGAACTCAGTCAGGTGAACAGGGTTGATGTTCTGCTTAAACTGTACACCAAGCAGCCGCTTCATTAGGTCCACCTCCTTGTTTCTACACTCACTGTCCATCTTATCAGCTCCACTGACCGTATAGTTTCACTCTGTAGTTCTACAGTTACAAACTGTAGTCCATCATACTTTGTTACCCAGTTCTTCAGTGGTCAGGACCCCTACAGGACCCTCACAGAGCAGGTATTATTTGGGTGGTAGATCACTTTTTAAAACACCTCAGTGTCTCTGCTGGACTGAGAATAGTTCACCAACCAAAACATCCAGCCAACAGTGTCAGTGTACACTGTACAAATGTACCCAAAGGCAAAAATGGAGATGGAGATTTTGCTGTGACAGCAGTGATGAATAAAGTGGTTTGGGATACTTAAAAGTAAAGTGTGCTTGTTTTTATTTGTATTATATATTTTTATTGCATGACTGTATAAAATTAAAATGAAGCAGGTTTGGGCTTTATTACATCCTACAGTTCAACGTGTTGGTGATGTTCTAGCATCAGCGCTAATGATCACTGTACTAGAGCAATCCAGAGAACATTAACACCAAAGACCTGATGGTTTCCCCTCAGCCAGCAGGGAGGGGCATAAAAAAGAAACTTATTAAAAGTAAAAAATAAATATTTAAATAAAGAAATGTGAAAAAGGTGATGGACATTTTCTGAGTAACACAGCAGTGCTGTACAAATATAGACATTTTATTTACTCTCCAGAACCACCAGTGAACCTACACGAGTCTTCTGAGTCTATATGAATGTTGATGATGAAAACAGTGGAGAATCTGAAAACTGTTTGTGGTCTATTTTGCTCTCCCACCGCGAATGGAATTAAAAAAATACAATTTAGACCAAAACCATCTCGATTAGTGTCTCAGTCATCAGGCAGTGAATTCATAACCATTTCCTGTAGGGACTTCCTGTGAGGGAGCTTTTAGAGTTCCTGTCACCACCACTGTGAACTGAAATTGAAAGTGACCCACAGACTTAAAGCCCCGCCCTTTGTTTACAGAAGAACAAAAGAAAAGTTGTGACCAGCGCAGGAGGAGCAGGAGGAACAGAGCAGCGGTCAGCCGTATGTTTCTGTACTATTCCTGATATTCTGATAATAAACAGTGTTCCCACCATCAGGATGGATTTCCTCCAGCAGTGAGACAGACAGAGTGGTGAGTGACTCAGAGCTGAAGTGTGTTTGGAGATTAGATTTGTGTGTTTTGGATGATCTTTAATATTAAAGCAGCTTTTATACACTGATCCACTAAAATGATGGAGTTATGTTGTTAAATGTGTTTTGTGTGAGGAATTACAGCCTCTAGTGTTCTGTACTGTGAGCTTTAAATAACGGTGGTATGACTGTATGATAAGTGCCACTCAACCTACGGACTCCATTTAAAACCATGTAGATTATTTCGGCCAGAAGTATGATAATAATTTTCATTCTCATAACTTTAATAAATTATATGATATTTTAGAATAAAGTTTGGAGTTTATGATTTGAAATGATGATAATCGATAACGGCTTTGTTTTAAACCTTTTCTCTCCATCACGTGTTTGAATAAGCTTAGCATTTCAAATTATTATTATTATTGTAGATTTTGTCAGCATTTTTTTCAGCAATTGCATATCTACATTATAGCTGTGACTGTTTTACTTGGACAAAAATAAAAAAAGCAAAATTGGCCTCTGAAGTGGGACATGACGTTGTAATAAACGGCCCCTAACAGCCCCTCATATCACTGAGCGCTGGCTTAGACCACCTACTGTGATGTCACATTTCAACAGGTATGGTATTTATTACACTGTCATGTTTCACTGTGATCCTGCACAGCCCTTTAGAGACTGAAGCATCCTTAAATTCAAAAACTGACCCAAAACATTCCTTTTATGTTTAAACCATAACAGTAATGAACGGTCATTTTTGTGTGTCTGTAGGTCAGTTCTGTTCTCTCTTCTCTCTCTCCTCTCTCTCCTCTCCTGGTCAGTACTGATGGTGTGTGTGTGTGTGTCTGTAGGTCAGTTCTGTTCTCTCTTTCTCTCTTCTGTCTCTCCTCTCCTGGTCAGTACTGATGTTGTGTGTCTGTAGGTCAGTCATGCAGTCCTGCAGCTCTGCTCTCTGTGTCCTGATCTTACTTACCACTACAGTCACTGTTGGTAAGTGTGTGGAAGAAAAGACCGTCTTATAAATTTCACTTCTGAATTTCGCTTTAGTTCGTGCAGCATAAATTTACTAGTACATCTCTAAGAAACAGCATAATGATAAGACATAGAAGAAAGTGAACCCCATGAAAAAGGTATGTTTAAACATGTGTTTAAAATGTAAACAACACTGGTAGATCTCAATAATCGTGTTTAAAAATAACATTTTGATTATTCACAGATCTGCAAAATGTGCAGCACTATCTTCATATGTGGATCAATAGTCCATCAGTTCACTGTTTAAGAGATCATCTATAGAGCAAATCAGTTTTAAATCACCACAGCATGAAACTGGATAGCTCTTGTAGAGCTGAGGAAGTGAGATTTTATACTCAGTTAGTTATTCAACCACAACACTGAAAACAGGAAGCTTTCAGTAATGAAATATGGAAATACTCATGTTGTAAATACTCACATTGTGTATCTCTCAATATTCACAGTTTAACTAACACTGCTCCTAATGTAAATGACACACAGCAGAGTAGATTCAATTATGGTACAGAGAAAAAATTTACACCAGTTAAACATAGTGAAGGACAGTTTTAACCATAATACCAACTTTAACTGTTCTTTTTGGTAGGAGAAATGTCCACTAGTGCTTTTCACACTAATAGCAATGGCTTCATAACCAGCGAGTGTCACATCACAGCAAAGTAACAATTCTAAAACCGTCAATCAAAATGTCCACACACCATTCTACTTTGCATTCTGGGGCCCTCATTGGCCGTAGGACAGTGTTCAGTGACTTCATCCTCACCTGGTAGAGTAAAGCTGTTGCTGGTTCTCTGTCACACCTCCTTCCGACATGGCTGAGACTACCGCCAATGCTGCTGCTCCAGACTACGTTTCCCAGAACCCCTTGCTGCATGACATGACTCAGGACTCAACCTATCGCCATTCCTCATCAACGGACTTCTAATCACACACCCCTGTCACACAGTGTATATGTACCAGTCTGTTTGGGACTTTGTGAAGTATTGTCACCCTCATGTGCATACCGAGCGTTCCCCCTGTGTTACTTACTGCTACTCTGTGTGACCTGTTTTCTGTTTACAACCCTGATTTTAGCCTCATCCCTTTGTTCTGTAACAGAGGCCTCACTCCCCTACATACTGAGATCCCTGCTATACCTGTTTTTATCATTGGCTGTTTAGTAAAGTGTTTAAGAGCTATCCAGACACAGCTTCAGTGTGAAGTCTTGTTCAGGTCTTCCATGCAATTCAAATAAAAAAAAAAATAGCTTTGGTATTTCGTTACTGAGTACTGGACTGTGCTTTTGGTTTGTTTGCTGAGTGTTGATGATATCATGAAGGTTTTGACCCGACCCATTTATGTTTATAATCCTTTGAACATCTCAAACCCAGATTCCTAAAACTGGGTTTGATGTTGAAGTGTATACAGGTATGAATATGTCTTAAAACTACTGCTGCACCTTTGCGGGTATATTTACACTGTAAACATACCTGTACTGAACATTTCTTTCGACAGTGTAGACACTGAAACAGTTATTTACTGTAATCAATCATGACCTGAATGTGACCTACTGAGGAACAGTTCATAAACAGTTATGTAACCCTTGATCAGCTTGGCAGACATTTCTTTTTCTAACAAATGGAAATGTGTGTAGTTGTGCAGTTTTCCTTTTTTCCTTTTTTTATGTTGTTGTTTCTTTGTGTTAATCCCTCTTTCAGGGTCTGAATCAGCTGTTCCTACAGTGAAGTTGAATCTTCATGACTCTGCTACTCTGCCCTGCTCTGAGAGATGCTCTGGTTTGGTCAGATGGACTGTGTTCACTAAACCCACTGATGTTCTGGCTGAGTGTGATCAGACTTCATGTAGATCAGTGAAGGAGGGATATCAGATGATCCATGATCAGTACCTGAAGGGAGATCTCTCTCTCATCATCACTGAAACTGATTTCACTAAGAGAGCTCGGTACGCGTGTGACTGTGATGGTAAAGATCTCTGTGATGTGAAGCTGCAGATTAAACGTGAGTCTCTTCTTCAGCTTTTCTTCCTCGTTGCTGATTTAAATGCAGCTCTTATAGACTCTGCTATGGTGCTGCACCTTAATAATGACATCTAATGATTTGTAATCTGATGTGTGAAGTTTCTTTTTCTCTCCTCAGCCTTGAGTTCCTCAGTTCAGCTAAAGGCTGGTGAAATTCTCATACTGGATTTGGACATATCAGATCCAGTGGAGGTGATTTATAACAGCAGAGGTGCAGCTGGACCATCCAGTGGTCAGATGTGTACAGTGAATGGAGTCTCACTACAGTGTAAGCCTGAGTATAAACACAGAGTGTCACTAACAGCTGCTCTTCAGCTCAGAGGAGTGACTCCATCTGATAGTGGAGTTTATACCATCCGGGACACCAAGAACAAAGTGGTCATCCACGTCTACACAGTGACCGTCCAAGGTACGTCTTCAGTGTAGTTGATACAGCTTAAGCAACGTATTGTTGCTGTTTTATTGTGTTTGTCTGTTTGTTAGTTTAAACTCACAACATGCCTTTGTGTTGTAGATGCCCAGCTGGACAGTGATCTTAGGTCTGATGTGCCAGTGTGGAAGTTAGTCCTGTCCAAATTTGCCCTCGTGGCTGGGCTTGTGGCTCTGCTCATTGCGCTAATTTTGGTGCTGAATTTGAGAAAAGATGTTCAGCAACTGTACATTGGACAATTCCACAAGTAGTTCAAACAGTTCATCAAGCTGTTAGCCATCATGGACACCTCACACCCCCTGCATGCTACACTGGATAAACAGAGAAGCTCATTCAGGTCAGACTGTGTTAAAGAGCCGTGTGAGATCTTTCTTACCCACTGATATACGGCTCTACAGCGAGTCTCCTCACTGCAGAGACAGTACTGATCTCCTGCTGTCTGAACTGAGCTGGACCTCATCACTGTATCACCTCTCCTGTTAATACACACTGTAAAATATCACAACTGCTACTGTAATGACTCTCACTGCGCACTTTACACTGTAATACTGCTGCACTGTAATACTGCTAGCTATGTTTATACTCATTGTGCTTTTAGACTACCTGATACCACTTAGTGCAACAACTGCTCTCATGTAAATACAACAAATGGTATAAAATGTCTTATAAGCTAAGTAAATATCCAAATAGATATGCTTCTGTTTCTACTCTCTCCTACTTTAACTTACGTCTATTTTTATTTCTGCCTCATATATGTATGTTTACGTGCAATTATATGTCTTGCTACTATAACCAGTATCTATATAATGCCCACATTCTTGTTTCATTTACAGTGTTATACTGCCATCTTGTGGACATTCACGAACACACCATTATATCGATTCTGACACAGCCGAACACCTGACTCACAGAAAGATCTGATTTCTTACAAACATCCCAAATCAGCATCTTCATCAACACTAAACACACAGAACTGACCTCTGTTCATCTCTTATTCACAATACAGCTCATCTCCATAATGACCACTTTAACACTGATCCTTCACAACCAGTTACATCACATATCCATTATTTATCACTGTAGACACTCAAAATATCCATATGTTTCCTATCAAATCATATATTATACATTGAAGATTTTTGGCATTAAAGACCCTAAAATCACCACATACACCACTGTACCTTGGATTTTAGGTAACACCACAGCAGCTTGTATTGACAAATATAACACTGACGGTCTGAGCTGTATATGAGTGATGATGAACAAATAAAAAATAAATTACTGAGTTCAGAGTGTTACCTGCTGAGACTGTGATTTCATGCGGTTGCAGCTCAAAGTGCTTTACAGGCAGGTGATAAACAGTTACACAAGGTAGAAGTATTAATTTAGAATCATAAGAAAATGACAGAGCAAATTAAAAGATAAATACTATTAGACGAGTTTTAATTAAGTGCTGAGTTAAAGAGCTGCGTTTTCAGATGTTTATTAAAAGTGAGCTCTGAGCTCGACTGTCTAATAAAAGCTGAACTGAGCTGCTCAGTTTAGAAGCAGAATAACTGAAAGAGTCTCTCTGTTTCCTGTATTTTCCAGAAGGTATTTGTAGAAGTCAGTATCTGCAGGTCTTAGATTATATGCTGGAACATAGACAGACACTCTGTGATGTAATTGGTGCTTTAAGGTCATTTAGAGCTTTAAAAACTGGTAGCAGAGCTTTAAAATCCATCCTGAATGATACAGACAGTCAGTGCAGCTCTTTTAAAGCAGGACTGATCTGATCTCTCTGTGTTTTTGTTAGGATGCTGATGTATTTTGTATGAGCTGTAAAGGATGTATAGTTTTCTTAGGAAGTTCAGTAAGAAGATCATTACAGTGATCAACTCTGCTGTAACAAATGCATGAACAAGTTTCTCTGCGTCGCTCTGAGAGAGAAAAGGCTGAACTTTACTGATTTTCTCACATGATAAAAGCTACTTTAGTGACTGTGTTTACATGTGGGGTAAAACAGAGCTCAGAGTCTAAAATCACACCCAGGTTTCTACTGCAGGTTTGGTACATGAAGCTAAAAAAACAAGTTTCTCATAAATCATTTTTCTCTGAGTTTCTGTACCAACAATCAATATTTCAGTTTTTTCATGACTTAGTTGTAGAAATTTTTGTGACATCCACTGAGAAACATCTGACACACAGCTGCTTAGTCTGCCTACAGAGTCTTGATCATCAGAATGAATGGAAATCTATAAATGAGTCTAATCAGCATAGCTAGGAAATTTTCTATTATGCTTCCTAATATATTATGCTTCTTATTATCGCCTAGAGGTAGCATGTACAAAGAGAAAAGCAAAAGCCCTAAAACTGAACCTTAAGGAACTCCACAAGAAATACCAAATCTTTTTGATGAATGATTTCAGTGAAACCATGAATTGTCTATTACGTAAATATGATTTAAACTATTCTAAGACTGTGCCTGAGAGGCCCACCCAGCATTTACGATGCTGGA